AAAGTTTTTTGCAAAACCGTTGTATTCATTTGAGAGACCTGTTTGACGTCCTGACAGCTTTCTTATACACTGCCTTGAGACTGATGAAATATTCATATTTTACGAGGCAAATTCTCCATATCAGTCTTTGGTTGCTAGCTATAATCAGGCCCACCTGTCCTCTTCTTAATGGGACAACATAACGTGAAATTTGCCGTGCCAAGATGTTAAACATAATATCATCTTTATGAAGATATCTCTCCAACACACATGCGAAATATTTAGTTTTAAAACATCTTTACTGATTGGTTAGCAATTCAGGTTTATCAATTTGTGTTCGAATTCAAAGGAAAAACTTTGTGAACGTCTTTGTCAACAGCGACGACGGCTCCGAATAGACTACTAATGGCATCATTTAAATCAATTTTCTTCATCTTTCCACTGGTTATAAACTTCAAGGGATGTTTTGTGGAATCTAAGTACTCAAAATGTTCGTTTGGTATGTCATCTGAAAGCGGAATCGAACTTCAAGGATTTGTTTTCAAATCGTTTGAATGTGCGCAACTGAGAAACTGCTTTTCCAAGTGCATGGAAGACGGTGTTTGCCAGTCTATCAACTATGATACTCGACATTTTCACTGCCAGTTCAGCACAGAAATAAAAAGACACAAACCCAATAAAGTACAGCCAAAGTATCTGGGTGTTTACATGGAAAATCCAAAAAGAGGTAAGCACAGCAACAGTTTGCAACAGTTTGCAACAGCTGGACGCTTTTTGCCTTTCGAAAATTCGCTGAAAAAGATTATGTGTCAACTGATTGTTATTTGCTTAGCGATCATTTTACTATTATTATTATTATTATTCAATTTTTTTTAGTATTATTCACCATTGAAAAAAAAAACTTTTCTAAGTTGACATAATTTCCACAAAAGTAATAGTTTTCTATTTCGCTTAAGCCGGGTATGGACGTTACCCACTCTCTTTTTTCCATGCTTTGCAGCGTTTTCGACAGTAATGAAAAAATTAGACCCATTCCTTGCTTAACTTGTAATCTTTCCTTGTTTTCAAGGCTACTAATGATATACATAATTAAGAATTATTCCATAAAGAATTAATACCATAAATCGCCCGAGAAAATCCACTAAAAAGTCAAATTAAATGTTGGAAACTAGCGGTAAACTAGCGTTAGCTAAAAAGTCAATTGATGAAGTTGCAGCAATTCTAAAGCTAAAAGTTTACAAGTGTTTTAAAATCTTCGAAATTGGACGCAATTATAACAGATCCGTAAAGACAGACCTAGAAGCTATGCAACATCCATGACTGAGAAAAACTGTTTGTTATGCACCATCAATTGTGGATGCTTATAACTCGAAAGATTATATTTTGAATACGCTGTAAAGTTTAGAACTTTGCACTTGTTAAACTTAACATATATCTTTCACGTCAATGACACCCTCTGAGAAAGTCTTATTTTAACTTTACACAATAAGATATATATATCATGGGAAGTTCTTTGTTAAAAAATTGTAATGAATCTTTCAGAAAAAAAACGTAGAACGATTGCTGCAGTTTTCATAAACGACCTTTTCGCTTTTTCGTTGGCAAGTAACACCTTTTATAAGCTTAAGCATGCAGCTAGCGAAATTATAATTTATTATTAAGTTATGAGGATGTAGTTGCTCCAAGAATTTATCCGAGTTCCTCACGACTATAATTATGATACAAGAAATTTGTGATCGTGACGGCATGGTGCCAGAAAAATCCTGGTTGAAATCATAACCACTTCATATTTTTCTAGGTTTATTGTGAAAAGCTTTACCGGTTTCTTATTCGACATATTCATTATAAAGGACAAATATTTATACTTTAATATATATGTAGCACAAACACTGGTTTATTAAATTCGCGATTCAGAGATTGATCCGGACTGAATTGCTTCGGTAATACGTTTTTCTTAATTATATAGTAGGAAATTAAAACTTCTATCTTATTTTTACATTTATTTTTCCAAATTATCAATGAAAATTTTTGCGAAAACATTTCTTGTCCTTTTATAATGTCAATTTTTGTTTTTCAATTATATTAAGGTAGCTTTTCTTTTTAATCAAGCTCGGAAAGTACTGTCTTAAGAAGATTTGAATTTTGAAGACGGTTCTTCTACATGAAGTAGATTGGAACCCCGCCATGTTGGAACTTAATTTTCAATCTGGAAATTCGCTAATTTCTCTTATTCTCAGCCAGTATTAAAAAGTTTTTTATTATTCCTTATCTGATTATTATAGCAAATATCATAATCGATGTTAGTCTCAGTTTATGGAGTTTGAGGTTGTAGATGTGCGCTTTCATACAATTACCTTAAGATATTTTAGTTTTCGGTGATCCAGGAGGTAATTTTCGTGTAAACAATGTTCTGTATTATATTTTTTGGCAAGGTATAAAGCAACAAAATCATGATCCTTATTAAAACTAGCTTGACGGATGTGCAAGATATATAGAGGCTCACGAACTTTTTTTGAATACTTTGCCACTCTTCGTGGACATCATAATCGCTAATATATTCATTTAGGTAAAAAAGTGTATTTTTCTCTTTTCTATTTTTGTGTTACTTCGTTTAATTTACCAGAAAAAGGATTGACATTATCAATAAAGACTTGTAAATGATTTATTTAATTCAATATATGAGCACCAGTTATTTCTGCTTGTTTTCCTTGTTAGTAATTGTTAGACAAACTCAGCCACGGCTTCCATTCAATTTATTGAGGAGCTACTTGTGCATGAGGACAGCTGTTATGGACGCTTTGATATTTTTAGAAGGACCGAAACTGAAAAACAACTTAGCGTTGCATAAATTAGTGAGGATCGATGATGTTTTTGTTTTTGTTCTCGTTTTCTTTTTTGCTCTTTTTTATTATAAAATTAAGTTTAGATCACGCAACAGCTTTCCTTACTTTATATCGAGGACATCGTTTAGTCCATTAACCATATGTAACAATGCAAGGACAAATAATTTTATTATCTGACACATTTAATTTCTAATAGGCGAAGTGAGATTTTGTGATTTTTTCTATAATTTTCAAAGCATGGAGCATCAAAAATATGGCAGTCAAAGCTCGAATAAAGTAGAGGTAGATTTTAAAACTAAAACGTAATTAGTGAGGTCCAACGAATGAAATGGCCGCGCGCAATTCAATGAAAATTCGAGAACGTCTAGAAGTGAAGTGGCGCATAAGCATGTATATCTAATACAAACATCTGTCAATTCTAAAAAGGAAAGGAAAGGGGAAAAGGGAAAAGGTGTTGGGTGCTAATCGTCCTTCATGGCAGCATGGGTGCTGAATTGCGAAAGACGCAGCTCGACGCGCTCTCAAGTCGAGGTGCTATATTACAGACACATTTTACAGACACTTACACATAGGCGTGCTGCCAGCTAGGCGCTTCCTTTACATAGCAACGAACGACTGAACGCGGAGCATAGCAGATAGAAATGGGTCGTTTTTACTTAGGGGGGAAAACCCGGAAAGATCCGGAAAAACCCTCGACGCAAGGGAGAGAACGAAAGAAACTCAAATCACATATGGCGCCCCGACCGAGATTCGAACAGGGTCCACAGAGGTGACAGGCCAGCGCTCTCACCGCTCGGCCACCCATGCGTCCCAAAAAATAGCTAGTTCAACACACGGCGACCAATGATTAGTGTTTGCTAAAAATGAGTTAAAATAATACGAATTTGCCAAGGTTTTTGTTGACATGCCATCATGATCAAATTAATTTTGAAGATGACGTCTAGAGCAAACAAGGAGAGAGAGAGAGTGAGGCCTACTTTTGGCCGAAACAAAGTCTCCTTAACGTTTTTAATTTCAGTTAACAAGTAGCAAATATTGCCACTCAAAATTCTAAGTAATTTTTTGGCGATTTTTTATAATTTGAAGCTATACTTTTGTTCTGGGTTGACACTTACATAATACCTANGGGGGGTGCATGGATAGTTTTGGATCTTTTTAGTATGGTCATAGTTTCAATTAGAAATGTGCACAATGGCGTCACCAGGCACAGCATTAGCAGACTGCTTTACAGAAAGCAACTTGTTTGGAATAGAATAGGGCGTTGTAATAGTCTCCTTCGTTATTAGAGAGTTTTAGCACCACGTTGATGGCAAACGGCTAACGGCAGAGCTGAACCAATGAACTAAGAATTTCGTGCTCGTCCTTGCGCTTTTGGTAGTCATTTGAAAGAGCGGCTTTTCACGATTATGGCAACCTAAAAATAACCAGCTCTCGCGTTGAAACTGCAACGTTAAACTCCAAAAAAGCAGGTCACGTGATCTTTTCTGCCGTTTGCCGTGAACGTCATGCTAAACCTCTCCTACAACTTGAAATGTAGCCGTACGTGCCTTTGCATGAAAATAATGATTTATTCTGTCAGTGAAATTGCCACGGGGGTACCCCCATGGGCGTATCCGGAATTTTAATTTTTTACATACCAAATTGTCACTGTGACGTCATATGGCATATGATGTCATATCAATCTATGGTTTTCACGCTCTTTTGCCTTTGAAAGGGGGTTCATGGGTACCCTTTGACCCCTCCCCCTGGATACGCCACTGCTCCCATATATGGAGGTGAAGGGGGGGGGGGGGATCGTCATATCTTTTTACACAGTCCATTTATTTGTTACTGTTTATGACATTGATAGATCAGAGAATTTATGGAAATGCTTTTGTAAACGTTAGGTTTAAAGTATTCGGTGGTTAGATCTCTAGAATTGTTTTAAAAAGTGCTTAAAATGATATGAATTTGTCAATTTTTGGTATCTTTTAGGGGAGAAAATATTGATTTGCCGCAACCTTTTTCTCAAGAGCCTGCTATTTATTTTTCGGGGTATTTTTTTCACTTTCGAAGGTCACGCCCAACCTAAAAGGAGGGAGTCCCCCCAGTTATTAGCCCATAAAGCACTCTTATATTTACATAGTGTTGTTGACTTCATTATAATTTTACAACTGACTGTGTATTCTATTTATATAGGTGGTTGGACGCTGATTAGACGAGCTAAACTAAGCACCACCAATCCAAACCAACTTGGAAAAATTGACACCAAAGACTACAAAGCAATCTCAAACTACGCTGACATTAGACAGAACGTCCTCGTCCCGGCAATACAAAACTTAAGAACAATTATGGGATTCCATCAACTTCGATATCGATGTTATAAAAAGAGCATCGATCGAACCCTTCACATCATGACCACTAACAACAGCGCTGGACACAAAGTACTTGATCACTACCTCGTCAAAGCAACATGGCCGACAGCGTGCAACTCGTTTGAAAGACTTCCAGATGACACCTCGGTTCTTTCGCGGAATTGCCAAAAGTGGGGTTATTATGATGGAAAGATGGAGGTGAATCGATGGGGGAGATCATCAAATGGAGGAGATTGGAGGATTTACAATAACGCCATTATTTGGGAAAATAAACATTACTTGTTATTTCATTCGGGTGGAGCATATTATTGTGACGATTTCAAGGACGCTTTGTATGGCGCCTTAAGTATTGGGGATATTTGGGAACTTTATGTCCGCTAATTCTACATTAGAATATAACTGTGGCTTAAACCAGTCCGAAGAAAAATACATTCTATTGCTCTTGATAAACAGAAACAAGAAGTTGGAATCATGTAACCAGTGTCCCTTTCGATCCCAATACACTGGAAAAAATCGCGCTTTAAAGGTTGTAAATTTGATGTAAATATGATGTAAGTGTCCAAAATTCTGTAGATTTAATGAAAATCATTTACATCAAATTTACAGAATTTTTGACACTTACATCATATTTACATCAAACTTACAACCTTTAAAGCTCGCTATTTTTTCCAGTGAGACCTTTGGTTAACAATTGGCCTGTCAACCAATATGGCCGCCATCTTGAACAATTTTGTTTTTAATTCAGTAAGTGAAGCTATTTGATGCCCAGGGGAAAGGGAGGGGGGGCACTAAGCTAGAAGTTCATGGCTGTAGGGATTTTAGAATGCAGTGAGATGTCTTGAAGCATAAATTCATAAACTTTGAAGCCATAAATTATACAGAGAAAGYAATTTTCGCTACCATCCTATATAACAATGTATGCTTTTCCCCATGGAAATCCTATAATTTCTTCAATTGCAAAATTCAAGATGGCGCCCGTATCAGTAAAAAGGCCCATTTCAGAGGACTATGGTTGCATCCGTCAATTATTTATCAAAGCTCAGGTGATTGATTATGCACAATCATATATCAGAAACTAAGAATTACGGGATTATTTCATTTAGATTTCTCTACGATGAAAGCTGCATATCATTCGCATCTTGCATGAATTAAACCAATCGTGAAGGGCAATTGACCTATCGTAATTACGTCACACCACATTCTATTGTTTTAACGCTAAGGATTATGGTCACCAGAGGGGATCATAGTGACTGCATATCAAATAAAATGTAGATGAGCTAAAACTGATAAATGATGTACATCAAAACTCGATAAACTAAAGTTCTACTTTCGGCCAAGAAAATTACATGTCAGACATGCAATAGGTCCAAATTTCGAGTCTTTCTGAGCATCTAATGCACAATGTAAACATACTGCGACGTCATTATTCCATAGCCCATAAGGGGCATATACTAGAACGGAAACTAATTTTCTTTCGATAGCCTCTCTTTAAAGAGACAGTTATATTATTCATCTCAGATTGTAAGTAGTCATTTGAAAAATTCTGGCCAACAATGTATGTAAATATTCACTGTTATGACAAAACGTAGCTAATAAAGCTGTTCTTAACTCGAAACGAAACCTAAAAGTATGCCAAAGGGATTTCCCGCGCCATCTTGAAAGGTAACCGAGCCTTTACATCGAAATCAAGCGACCGGTGATCTTGCAACCACCTGACCACTATTCTATCGTCGTATGCTCACCACTCGTCTCGCTTCTTTGTCAAAGGCACGATTACTTTTCAAGATGGCGTTTATATTAGCCTAAAAGAGAAAAGTGACAAGTGAGGCAGTTGATTGGTTTACACATGTCAGAAGACAGGAAGCCCAATCTCTAATAAGGGGTAAGATCTAAGGCTTTAAGCTCCCCCGGATCTCAGCTAGAAACCATCAAATCACGGCCTGAAATCGCTACCAGATATCAACAAAATTTCAATAAGCAATCCACGAAAGTATGGGTGAATTTGTTTTTACTTTTCTTAATACAAGGTTAAGATAAAATTATTATTCCCTATAAAAAAGATTTATAGATTGTCTATGATAATACAAACTAGTTTCAACACAAAAAATATGAAATAAAAATTGCTAGTCATATTTTTTTGTATTTGACTTTATCTTTTCGTTATTTTCGAACATTGACGTGCTACACAGAAAGCCCAATACAATATATTATAATAGGCTTCGTGATTGGCTGATGCATTTCCGATATTACAATGCATTTCATTGGTCGATTTGTCCAAACACGTGCGGTGGTCGCGTCGAGTGTTCTCCATTGCTTGTAGCACAGCTGAAGTAAGCGTTGGTTTTCAAGGTATTTCTCCCTTATTTCAAAACATGATCTCCATATTATACTTCTTAAATCTTACTTGAACATATCTGTGTATTTTGTATCGAAAAATATGACACGTTTCCTGTATATATTCAGAGATATTTGAGTTGAAATCATGACTGGCGGAGGGAAGCGAAAGCTTTTCGTCGGTGGGCTACCGAGTGACTGCGACGAAAAAGCTCTGGGAAATGCCTTTTCAAACTGGGAAACTGAAGATGGTAATACATTTTACTTATTTAAATAAATAAATATACATATAATATCGTTTATAACTGTTAAAAATGGCTAAAAATGTAGACCTACGAAGGCTTCTCTTGTTTGTCAATGTGCTACTTTAAATGTATGCCGATTTTTAATGGCCTTGTTTCTCCCTTCTCTAGTCATAGTTGTGTACGATCGAGAGACTAGAAGAAGTAGAAACTTTGGTTATGTGACGTTCATGGACGAACAAGACGCTGCCGACGCTATGAAACAAATGGGAGGCGAAAGTGGCAAAGGAAAGGTTAGCTGAAATATTTCATAATATCTTGTGTTCTTTGTTTTGTATTGTCTTCTATTTTGAGCATGTTTGGGTGGATATTCTAAAGATATAGGACAACTTAACTTGTTTTCTGCAAACAACAGCTGCTGGAGGCTTATATTATTGATCAAAAACCTATCCATAAACATTACAATAGCGATTGCTCAAGTCCTGACATTAAGTTATAAGCTTAAGTGAAGCATATGGCGTAGTTCTTTGTTTAGATTCAGTTTGTATTTAAATCTGAATAATTAATACAGCTGGGAAATTGAAATTCAAGCTAAAATGTTTTGATAGCCAATTTACATTACAGTACATTGGAAAATATAATTTGTTAGATGTCATCCTATTCTGCATGCATGCTCAGATTCAAAGCATGCAATCATGTGTCACCACGAGCGTAGCGAGTGGTTTCAATGCCAAGTTTTGATCATTTTCTGACGTCATTTTCATTGTCGATAAGCGTACAGACCATAGAAAAGTGATTTCAATTTTTTTGATTTCGATGAAGCCGAAAGCAAAGTGAAAACTTTCAAAACAAAATCGTTTCTGGCACGAGCAGGCTCAATGCGCAAGCGATTCGTCATTTCATCGGTCTGTCCTATGATCGACAATGGCTCTCGACCAATCAGTGCGCGAGAATTCTACAAGTTATGGTAAAAAGGTACTTATTATATTCTTGACTAGGCTAATAAGAAAAACCAAACATAAATATTTAGAAACCTTTTTTGGCTGCAAGAGAAGCAAGTAACATTTTATTCTGAACGTATTTCATTGTTTTGGTGTTACCTGCAAACGACATGATAAAATGTACCTAGATTATTAGGGACTCAGTCCCTTAATGTACCTAGATTACATGTACTAGGGACTCAATTCCTTAATGTGCCTACAATTGTAGGGTCGATTCATGGTGTTAATTATACTGTAGCATAAAAACATTTCATCAAGTCATTCATTAATATACAATAGATATAGGTACTTATTATATTCTTGATTCTTGAATAGGCTAATTAGAAAAACGGAACACAAACATTTAGAAACCTTTTTTGGCTGCAAGAGAAGCAAGTAACATTTTATTCTGAACATATTTCATTGTTTTGGTGTTACCTGCGAACGACATGATACAATGTACCTAGATTACATGTACTAGGGACTCAATTCCTTAAAGGGACATGGTCCACTAGCATGCAATGCGGTCACGGGGGTACCCCCATGG